GCGCTCTAGCTCACGCCGACGAGTCTCGACGAGCGCGTCGATGCCGAGGACCCTCGACGAGCTCCCCTCGACCAGCTTCTCGCCGATGCCAAAGACCCTCGACCAGTTATCTCCCAACGACATCGAAGACCCTCGAACAGATCACCGACGCCAATCAGACTATCGACCCACTTTTCGACGAAGCCCCTCGACGAGCTCCCCTCGACGACCCTCTACCAGTTATCTCCCAACGACGTCGAAGACCCTCGAACAGATCGCCGACGACAATCAGACTCTCTACCCGCTTTTAGATGAAGCCCCTCGACGAGCTCCCCTCGACCGGCTTCTCGAAGACGCCGAAGACGCTGAAGCCCCGTCGCCGACGCCGCTCTCTCTCTCTCTCTAGATTCGCTGGAGTGAATCTGGATTCGCTGGAGTGAATCTGGATTCACTCCAGTGAATCTGGATTCACTCCAGTGAATCTAGATTCATTGGAGTGAATCGAGAGCCATATCTAGTTAATATTTATTTAGTTATTGTTCACAAGTTAGAGTTAATATTTATTTAATTGTTGTTCACAAGTTGGTGGTCTTGTTGTGCTGTGTTGCTGCTGATGTGCTGTTGTGCTGCTACTGAAGTGAAACTGGATTCGCTGGAGTGAATCTGGATTCAATCCACTGAATCTGGATTCACTCAAGCGAATCTGAATTCATTGGTTGTTTGTTACCCCTATTTTATGAAGAGACATGTCTGTGAAACAATGAATACGAATGGATGAAGTTTCTTTCGCATCAGTGACTATTTGAAGTGAAGTGAATCTCGATTCACTACTTCAGTGAATCTCGATTCATTATAGTGAATCGAGATTCATCCACTGCAGTGAATTGAAAATGACAGAATTGAAAATAAATACATATTAAATACACATCACCTGTCAAAATTAATGTAAAAGGGGTAATTTAAGAAAGATTCATTAAGGAAACACATTGTAATTAATTATCCAGTCAAACACTCCATTTCACGAAACACACTGTAATTAATTAACAATTAATTAGCAATAATTCCCAAAAACGATAACGCTCGAGATGAAGAAAAACAACTGAAGTGAATCTCAATTACAATGATTCTCGATTCACTGCAGTGAATCCAGATTCACTCCAGTGAATCCAGATTCACTCCAGTGAATCCAGATTCACTCCAGTAACTCTAGATTTTTTTTTGGGTTGCCTAAGCCGTGAGATCACATGGGGAAATGGAAAACTAAACTTGCATTTATTATTTAATTATTTAATTGTTGGAAATAAAATTACAGCACATGCATTTATTTCTTACTCTTGCATGGAGAACTCAACAGACAAGCATTAATTACCTCTCTTTGGGGGCTGTTAATTTTACCTGATTACCCTTATGCAGCTTTAATCTCAGCCATTGGATGAATCAGGATCCAATGGAGAGGATTGGTTTTTAGTTTTTAGGATAGTGAGGTTTTTATTTAATCTCTCCATATATATATATATATGGGAGGTTCTAATAAAAACCTCCTTAGCCTATAATCTAAAAACCAATATCATCCATTGGATCTAGATGAATCCAATGACTGGGAGTCAGTCAAACAGTCAACCGTATATATATATATATAGGGAGAGGTTCTAATAAAAACCTAGAGAACTAAAAACCAATCCTAACCCTACATTCTATTTCATCCAATGGCCTAGATTTCGATGGCAGAATTGTAAATATAGACAAATTTAATACACTGCATTAATGTGAAAAGGGTAAAATTGGAACAATTCATTGCATTAATGGTGACTGATTACATTGGAACAATGATACAAATTTAATACACGTCCTTTAATACTCTCTCTTACATTAATAGTGCTACATTCTTTAATACTCTCTCTCTCTAACTCACTTCCCGATCTCTGTAAATCTCACATGAAGAACACAACAACGCATTGAATCTGGATTCACTGAATTGATCTTCAATCCAGATTCACTCCAACGAATTGAATCTGGATTCACTCCAATCGATTTGCTGCTCCACTGGATTTGTGAATCATTCTAACCATCCAAGCAGAATAAGAAACTTATGGTAAAAAACAAGCTATAAAATTTTATAACATGAAAAATTTTCACCTTTTACAGCAAAAAGTTATGATTTTTATGGTAAAAAACAAACACCTCACATAATTGAATCTGGATTCACTGCAGTGAATCGAGATTCACTGAAGTGAATCTAGATTCACTGAAGTGAATCGAGATTCACTGAAGTGAATCTAGATTCACTGAAGTGAATCTAGATTCACTCATGCATTTATTGAAGTAAAAACAAGCTGGATTCACTACAGTGAATCGAGATTCACTCATGCATTTATAGAACGTGCTTGATGATTTTAAGCAAAAAGTTATAATTTTTACATTAAAAACAAACTGGCGGTCAGCGGCGGAGAGGAGAGGGGAAGGGAGATGGCTGCTGGTCGCGACGGCGAAGGCTGGTCGTGGTGGTGGCGAATGGGGCTGACGGCGTTTCAGGAAGGAGGTCGGAGAGGAGGTGAGGCGGTGACTAGGGTCGGAGTTCGCCGGCGGGGGCTCGTCGGGGCTTGGGGTTGACGGTGAACTCAGGCGGCGCGGTCGTCGCTGCTGGTCGGAGCTCGAGCGGGGGTGGGGTTGACGACTCGAGTTGGCGGGTTCGCTGGGAATGGAGCGGAGGAGATGGAGATGGTCGGGTTGGAGGGACAGCGAGGGTGCAGGCGGAACTAGAGGTCGGGTTTGGGAGCTTGGCTTTGCCGGCGTGGAAGCTTGTGTTGATGGCGGACGAGAGAGAGAGAGAGAGATAGCTGGGTAGGAGAGAGAGAAAGTTGGGTTCTTTGGAGGATGACCGAATCCTTCAACTGAAGAGATATATATATATATATATATATAATTTTACTTAATAAAATTATTTTTTTTAATTTTTGTAATAATGTTAATGTTAATTTGCTATTTACCTATAATTCTAAAGTGTTAAACAATATTGGAAAAAAACCAATTAAAAATAACAAAAAATAATTAATTGGGCCAAATGTGCCGATCGTGTCGACATTGCTCGTCTTGCATGTTCTTGGGCCCACGAGCGGGCCAGACTGAGCTCTAGGCCTGGGAACAAGCAGCAAAACATGACTCACTCAACTCGTTGCCCAAGGCTCATGGGCTTGGCCTCGCCTTGCCACTGAGCCCGCATTGTTGTCCCCTGCAGGATGAGCCAGCACGGCCCATTGCCCATCCCTAGACATCAGGCCATACCAGTTCTTAGGAAGCGGCGTGATGCAATCAATATGATAAATACTTTTTTGTAACTAGAACTTCATGATAGGTCCTTGGCTATACCTAATTGTATTATTCATACTATGATAAGAGTAGACTCATAAACAATAAATACACACGAGAATGTTTAGGGGCGGGCATGGGTCGGGCTGGTTTAGACCTGTGACTTGGCCCGCCGGGTTCAAGGTCGGGCTAGGCCTGACCCTAACCCTACCGGGTCAGAGTGGGTCGGACCTACTTCTCTGATCTTGTGTCT